TTGTCTATTTGTCAGTTGTCAGTTAAGTGGCTGTTACTAATTAACTGAAGACCTAACACCTCTCCTAAAGCAGTCTCCTTCTCTCCGATTTTTTTGAAGGGATGTACACAGGCTACACAATGAGCCGATTAAAAACTATATCATAATGCGCACTTTCCGGGAATAAGCAAACAGGTATAAATCACAAAAAATAATTGTCAATAAGGGTCAAATCGGGCCAGATCGAGGCAGATCGTAGTCTCCTTCGCAGCCGTTATTAGGGTTGTCACGCAAATCTTCTCCCCCACTAATAGTGAGTGGAGAGAGGAGCGTTGCGTGACGACCTGCAAAGGAGACTAGGCAGATCGAATTTAAAATTACCATAAGTAAAAATGTATCCTGCCTACTAGCGTTATGCTTGCATTACAGTTGTTTGGTTCGGCAGAGGACTTCTAAGTACTAAACAAGTGACACGAACCTCATCCCGATGCAATCGAGACAAGGCTGTATCCAGTACTACCCAGGACTGCTTCTGTTCAGACAAAATAACACTGAATTTCTTGCAATTGCCAGAGGGAGCGAGGACGGAGGGTAGGGTCCGGTCACAACAGTCTACCTCTAAAATATAAATCCGTGAACGATTGAATGAACAGAGATCAAACTATGAAGAATATTGTCACGACACGAACTCGCGAGGCTAACGCATGAGATGCGTGAAACTCTCCCAGCACTCTTTGCAAGGACAGTTCGTTCATGTTGATAAACCACGAAAGTTGAACTTGCCTGCAGAAATAGGTTAATTTTTTCCTTGTTTAAACTGTATTTAGCGCATTTTTGCGCTGCTTAAACAACGAGATATGCTTCCTCGCAAGAGTTGTTCCACTTCAGCAATACCGGATACACAAAATTAAAGAAACTGCTTTGTCGTTCACGCCGTTTTGTTTGTCATCTTGAAATTTTGAGGAATTTTAAACGAAGTATAACACCCAGTTTCCCTTCTGTCGTACAGTTAAAGTGAAGGGGAAGAGTGGGGTGAACGAAAGTTGTGATCATGAAAAACTGGGAAAACTGACGTTTCGATCGTGTGTCCTTTGTTCTTTTATTCTTTTATAACCTTCAAGTTAAATACAGTAAAGGAATTAATCGCCTTGTTTATTGACTGCGACTATGGTTTCACCAGAAGCCACGCAGGTCAAAAAAAGTGTTTGCAGTATACTTCTAGAAACAGATTTGAGAATTTCTGATTTTGTATTTTTTCTTAGTCTTTAGTTTTTTTTTATCTATTTATTTGAATATTTATTTACTAATCTCTTTCTTGATACTGTAAAGAATTGAAGAGTATTAATAGGGTATCAATGAGGTGATGGCTAATTCTTCGGGTAACGGTTAATTTAGTTCCTTACGGTTAGCAGAAATCTTGGAAATTAATTACTATTACCATTACCATTACTTTAAAAAAGTTAAAAATACATGTTCATTTTTTTTGAAAAATTGAAATTTAGTTTGATACCTGTCAAATATACTTAGGTCTTAGGAATATTCCGGGATGGAAAAGGTATCAGTATAAGAACTGTAGAGTAATATGTCCTACTAATAATGCAAGACACGACACAAAGAGTCTTGACAAGAGATCTTGGGAGTTCACTTTCCAGGCTAAATTTGTTTCAGACTAACATTGTTTACGGCTAACGCGAAAAATTTGCTAATTTATACGCCTAACCGTTTTATGGCCAACTCTTAACTTCATTGAGACCCTCTGTCTCGCTTCCAGCTCAGCTTATGCCGTGACACTCCAGAAACTTCGAAATATGTCTTCCATGCTTGGCGTACTATGATAATCATCGTTTCCTCGAAACATAAAGAGCCCCTCAAGCGGTTTTATTTTCCAAAGCAAGTTCCGCCGTGGTAAGTACAGCTCTAGCTACCTTCGTATCGTCCGGCTTCTATTTTGACAAGTTTAAATAATACACTGCTAGTTTATAATGGCCGCGACTTGCATAAAATCATAAAGTAATGATTAACTAGAAACTGCATCGTTTGCTTCTACATAGATAGAAGAGGTTTATTGTTCTGTGATCTGATGCGTGTTACCATGGGAAGGCAAAAGAATGAAATCGAACAAATTCTGCAAACTACTTTATGAGTTGAACGCCGAGACATAGTAAATTGGCGGTCAGTTCAAGTTTTCAAATGAGAAAGAAGAATTGCAATAGATCGATGACAAAAGCAGTTCTTCTTTTGTTGCCTTCAGAGCAAGTAAATCTTTTTGTGACAGGAATTGAAGCGTGGAATGTAAATTCCATTCATATCAATCAACACATAGAGTTAGTAAAGGGAAGTGGTTTTGAGCCGAAAAACGTCAAAGGCAGAAACAAAACTGGCAAGAACAAAGAATGGAAGTAGCAAAAGATATAATTTACTTTAGAGGAAATGTCATTACTCGCTTGTTTTGCGCAGTGCTTGAAACTTTTTTCAATCAGTTAATTTGCATTTGTTCTTGACTGCCTCTTGGCTTGCAGGGAACCTCCCGTCAGTGTTTTTTCGGTTACTATCATTTTAGGTCTCACTTTCATTAGAAGATCCAGAAACTGAACAAAATAAGTTTATAAACTGTGAGCGTTTCGTGACTGATTGCGCGGTGCATAAACATTTGAGCTATTTAAGGAGCTTAGTCGATGTTAATACTGACTTTAAATTTACACTTGCAGCGGAGATGAATTAATCGCGTGACTGATTTTTCTCTTGTTAGAAGAGCTATTAGTGAGTCACATCAAAAATTAAGCCACACGAATGATTGTTTGGAAGAACCATATGTGTTGTAGTCTTTTGCTTAACTTTTTCTTCTTTCTTATTTTTCAGAGGAAACGTTCTTGTTAATGACGCGTATTGGGTTTGCTATCATTCTCAATAATTGATCCACAAAAGCTAGTGAGTATAAATTAATATTTTAATTAGCTTTAGAAAACAGCCCTAAGAAACTACGTGCGCTGATTGGTTAAAAATCGTGTTTCTGTAACTCGATGAAAACACAGAACTAGCACGAACTGTTGACTTAATGATGGCGCGAGCAAAGAGAATTTCCATTTTGATGATCAAAGTAAACAGGCCGTTTTTCCTTTTTTTTTT